TGTTCTTTGCCAACAGCTAAAACAATTAAACAAATACATTCCATTGTTTTACCACGTGTTCGATATGCAGCTTGTAATGCATTAGGACAAATGTCAACAGATTTTCAAGGAATATTTCAAAAAAAATTTCATTCAAAAGTAATTCCTGGTCTTCTTTCAATACTTGATGATCATGAAAATCCACGAACACAAGCTCATGGTGGTGCTGCTTTAGTTAATTTTTCTGAAGATTGTCCAGCACGTTTACTTGTTGAATATTTACCACAAATTATTGATAAATTAGAACAAGTTTTAAATCGAAAATATCAAGAAGTAACATTTTTTGTTTTGTTGTTTAATTTTCATAGAAATTTATTTTCTTAGCTTGTTCAACATAATCGTAAATTAGTTCTTGAACAAATTGTAACAACACTTGCAGCTATTGCTGATACAGTTGCACAAGATTTTTCACCTTATTATGATCGGTAAGTTAATATTTTTCTTTCTTGAAAAGAAAAGAATTTTTATTTTATGAAAGATTTATGCCACAATTGAAATATTTATTTAAAAATGCAATTACACCTGATTATCGAATGTTACGTGGTAAAACAATGGAATGTATTAGTTTAATTGGTTTAGCTGTTGGCAAAGAAAAAGTTTGTGTTTGTTTATATAAAAACAAAAAAAAATTTTTTTGTTTTTTTTTGTCTCTAGTTTATAAATGATTGTTATGAAATAATGCAAGAATTAGTTAAAAGTCAAGTTGATTTTGAAAATTTAGGAAATGATGATCCACAAGTTTCGTATTTAATCGGTGCTTGGACACGTATATGTAAAATATTAGGAAAAGATTTTGAACAATATTTACCAATTGTTATGGGATCTGTTCTTAAAGCAGCTGCATTTAAACCTGAAGTAACTGTACTTGCTGATGGAGATAATGATATTGAAGAAGATGATAATTGGGAAGTACTTAATGTTGGTGATCAAGTATGATACCGAATTGTTTTCTTTTTTTTTATGAAAAATTTCATTTTGGAGTGTTTTCTAATTTTTCTTTAAAGGCTTTTGGAATAAAAACAACAGGTCTTGAAGAAAAATCAAGTGCTTGTTCAATGCTTGTTTGTTATGCTAAAGAATTAAAAGAAGGTTTTGTTAATTATGTTGAAGAAACAACTAAATTAATGGTTCCACTTCTTCGATTTTATTTTCATGAAGGTTAATTTTATATATTTTTATTATTGACAAATAGAAAATTTCATATTAAATATTTATAGGTGTTCGTGCTGCAGCAGCTGAATCTTTACCACATTTACTTGATTGTGCAAAATTACGTGGTGATGATTATGTTCGTCAAATGTGGCAATATATGAATAAAGAATTATTTAAAGCAATTGAAATTGAACCTGATCATGAAGTACTTGGAGAATTATTTTCATCATTAGGCAAAGTAATAGAAAAGAAAAGAAAAAAAACAAATTTTTTTAACTTAATATTTTTTATTGTTTAGTGTATTGAAACATTAGGTGTATCAAGTTTAACAGCAGATGAATTAAAAGAATTAACAACAATACTTGATAGTCATCTCAAAAAACATTTTGAACGTTCAAATGAACGTATTGAAAAACGACGTGATGAAGATTATGATGAAGAAACTGAAGAAGAAATGCTTGAAGAAGATGATTTCGATGCATATATATTAAATCGTTTATCGGATATAATTCATTCATTATTAGTAACATATACAGATTCATATTTAGTTTATTTCGATACATTAGTACCTCATTTTTATGCTCTTATACAACCAACACGTACAATATCAGATCGTCAATGGGCATTATGTGTATTTGATGATGTTATACAATTTACTGGTACACATTCACATCGTTATACACAATATTTTCTTTCACCTATGGCTGAAAGTCTTGCTGATCCAGCGGCTGAAGTAAATATTGAATATATTTTAGAATTTTTCTTTCTTATTTCATTATCTATTTAAAGATTCGTCAAGCTGCTGCCTATGGATTTGGTGTAATGGGTATGAATGGTGGTCCTGTTTATGCACGTGCATGTGCTGAAGCATTACCACGTTTATTTACAATGATAAGTGCATCTAATAGTCGTGCACCTGAAAATAATACTGCAACTGAAAATGCGATTAGTGCTGTTACTAAAATATTAAAATATAATAATTCATGTGTTGATAACCTAGATAAAGTAAAAGTTTTCTTTTTTTTTTAATACAAATAAAAGATGAAGATTACTCTGTTTGTTTTTCTCTCTATAGCTTCATCAAGTTTGGTTGTCTTGGCTTCCAATTTATGAAGATACTGAAGAAACACCTTATGTTTATGGTTATTTATGTGATTTGATTGAATCGTATGTTTAAAGAAATATTTAATGAAAATTTTCTTTTCTTTTTTAAAGAAATAATCCGGTGATTATTGGACAAGATAACTCCAATGTACCAAATGTGATTAAATTATTTGCAGATGCATTTGCTAAATCATCAATTGAAGTTAATTCAGTTGTTGGTCAACGTATGATACTCATTTTACAACATGTTCAAGTTAGTTATTTTTGTTTGTTTGTTCTATTAATGAATAAAAGAAATATATTCAAAATTTTATTTTTAGACAATTCCAACAATTTTTCAAACATGTATGAGTGTTTTAACAAATGAAGAACGTCAAGCATTAGCAAATGCATTAAATTCAAAACCACCTACGCAAAATCATCAAGTTGCATCAACAAATCATATAATGAGTCATCATGCTAGTGTTTAAAATTCAGCAACTATTATCGATATTTTTTTTCTCTTCTATTTTGTTACGATCTCTTCTTTATTATTATTATTATTATTATTATTTTGTTTTCTTCCTATATTTGTCTCTCGGCTGAACACAAGACCAAAAAAAAAACAACAACAGAATTAAAACCAAATCGATTATACTCTTTATTTTGTTTTCGTATTATTTCTTTTTGTGTTCAGTATTACTTTTCTTTTTTCTATTTCGTAAAACGAGAACGTTTATGTATGTCAAGTGTGTATGATGAAGAGAAAACGAAACAAAACAAAAAAAAATAAAGACAAGACAAGCGATATTAATCATTGAACTATAGTTTCTTCTTTATTTTTAAAAATTTCCTTTGGCAATACTCGCTTGTGCACAGCTCGAAGCTGTTGTACAGTGACTAATGATATAAAAACAATTAAAATATCTTTTGAATCGTACTCAAACAATGTTAATATTCTATTGGAATTTGCAATGTTCTTTGCAATAAAGATATCTATATAGGGCATTATACAAGTCTTTTTTGTTCGGTCCTCCTAAAAGTTGTATATTGCGGTCGAGTACTCTGCTATAATAATGCATAGACAAATCTTGCACAACGCCTCATTCTTACATTTCTTTGAGATCGATCATACATCATTCCAAAAAATGATCCAGGAGAGCCCTTTCGAACTATGATTTTAACAGAAACAGAAAATCGGTTGAACGTACACGGAAAGTCATGTCCTTTTAATGCAGACATAGTGGGATTAAGAAGCCTCAGATCGAATAATTCACAATAGGCTTCATAATTTTGCAACCGGGAAAATTCATGTTACCCGTTCAGCTGGTGTTTACCCAAAAACAATCGATACTGTCTGAGCAATAATTGAACGTGGTTCTTATTGAACATATGAACTGATCGAAGGCACTCTGAGCATAATTGCGCCAGCGATTGTTTTACTTTTTTCTCACTTGTTCAAAAACTTTTACTAAGTGTTATGCTCAATCAATGCACTATTAGCTTATTGATGACTAAAAGCAGTTCTATGTTAAATAANTGAAAATAATATCAATAGATTCATATGATCCAGTCATCGATATGAATAAGTTCGATAGATTTTTTTATTTTTGTTGAGAATAAGAATAATTCAATTGAAATTTCTTACCTGTAAAAAGACATCGAGCTGACTCTTCATTAATATAATACAGACCGAGAGTATGTAAATTAGGATAATCGGCAGCATGTAAAACATATTTCATAGATGATGATTCAAGATCAAGCCATTGGATTTTATGATGAATTTCAGGTAAAATTTGTAAACAAAATCGATCAAGTATCATATTACAACAAAATAGATCGATAAAATTATGTGACAACCATTTAACGAAAGTCAAATGACTTGTAAAAATTGGATCTTGAATAATTTTATTTAGTCGCTGATTGACACCTTGGAAAGAATAGAGTATATCAAGATTGTTGAGTTTTTTGAAAATAATCATAAGAATTTCATCAGGTAAATCATTTAATCGAATGCATGCATATTCCATGTTTATTTTTACTTATCTATTGTTTTCGACATATGAAAAGTCCATATTTATATGCATATATTCATCTGTTCTATTTGACAGATGTCGTCAATACAAACAATAATACATTTTTTTTCTAGTCAAAATTGATAATGAATTGAAAGAATGAATGAATGAATATTGCTATTTCTTTTTCTCATTTGCGTAATATGTCATATGATGAAAAGTGATACTTTCTTCGTTTATTTATTTTATAGTGCATATGGATACTTGCAGGGTTCAGTTGACACTTAATTAAAATTAGTTAGTTAAAAAGTATTTCTCTGATCATTTGGGAAAACGAATCTAAAAGGTTTAGGATAGACTCTAGAACAGAAAGTTAATTTTGAACTTCTCATTGGGCTATAAAAGCATTTATTTCTTCGTTTATATATTCGTATTCTAGTCAGTTGGTAATGAAAACCAAATTGATTTTTTTTTGCAAAATTTTCGAGAAAGATTCTACAGTCTGATAAATGATCTAAAGGAGGTATCATTTAGTTTTCAAAAAATGCTATCTGAATTTGTCAGTTATTTTGAAATCAAATGCGTGAAGTAGAAATCGATGATCCTTTTAGATTGCATCACTAATGCTAGTTTTTCTAGTGGTATTTTCGTTCAACAAAAGTCTCCAAGAGTGAATTTTTCACAGTATGTTGAATTATTTAACATATATAAAATCTAGTACTAAAAACATTCATTATCCAGAAATCCATGCATTGTTAGTTTGCCAAGTCATATTGGTAGCACACATATGATGAGGAATATGGTTTTGGAACAAAATCGTTTCTTCAAAAAAAACTAATTTGTGACAGAAATCAAACACTGGAGGTATAAGCGGTGTAAGGATATAGTTAGCGGTATAAACGTACAGTTTGTGGTATACCACTTATGCCACTACCTATACCTTATACCACTATATCGCTAACTATACCCTTATACCATTATACAGCTATATCACTAACTATACCCCTTATATCGCTTATACCTCGGAAATTTTTTATATCTTTGTCTGAGACGTTTCTTTTTTTCTGAATTTTGCCGCAAATTGAAATTCCTCATTAACTCGTAGCGAATAATTTTGCTCAGATACGTATTATTACATATGTTTATGATAAAGTTAGCACAATATAAATAAAATGAAATACTTATTCAAAGATGCATATATATGATAAAACACGAAGATACCATGTCGAGATCATTATTGATATGTAATGAATGTGTATTTATCAGAGCTACCAACAAGTGAAAAAAAGGATCGTCTGCCATCTGAGCTGGCTTGACCTTCAGGCAATACCAGGCCGACTGGTGATCCTGATTGTCCAAGTTTTTTAAATTCTATAGATTAACAATATGTGAAGCTCTCTCAAAACTATCTATTTCTCCGTTTAACTTAAACAAAAATTAGCGCAGAAGCACATGAGAAAACATTTACATCTAATGATGTTGAAGTGATTGAAATAGAATAAGTTGATAGCTTACAACAACCATCGATTAATATTGCTTAATGTAGAGTGTTGAGCAGAAAGACAATTTGAGAAAAAAACGAGTTTTGTCTTCCAACTGAACCATAGCCTTTTTAACTTCTATTGAATAAGCTAAGCATAATTATTGACTTCTTTCTTTTACTCCTTCACGATTTTATTGTAAGAAGCTGTTGACCAATATAAAAAAAAAAAAAAATTTCATATACCAAATCGTTAACTACCATCAAATATTAGAAGTTCATTAATAGAAATATTAATAGCACGTCACAACCAGACCAGGCTAGGTCAAACATTGAATTGAAGGGTCAAAACAGACCAAAATTTCAAAACTCCGCCTGGCCTAGTTGCCTGGCTGTCAGCTCTGATTGCCATGGTCATAGCCATGATTCCTCCGCTCCACCTCGTGCTTTCTTTCCTTCATCCTTAGTTCTATACTATCTATACATTCTTTCTTCATGTCATGTTTTTTGTGACATAGTTTTACGCGTGATGATATATGCCCATAGTATGCTTCGCTTTCCATTGTTCTGGCATTCATATTCATTTGTTTTTTGTTGTTCTTGTGATACACACGAAGCGAGACACGTCACACTGATGTTTATGTATCATTTTCTTTGATTTTCTAAATACTTTCTTGTTCTATTGTTACGCATATAAATATATGTGCGAATTTTAAGAATTTGATACTGATTGACTTTCTTAGTGACTTTTAGGTTCTTTTTCTCTGTTTGTCATTATTATATGTCAGACAAAAGAATTATAAGATCAGTCAAACATAGAATTCACAAATTTTTGTCTTATTTATTAACGGGTGACCCATAATGAATGGCCGCACTTTGTATTGCATATTCTAATTTCTACATACGTTTTATTAAAAAAAGCAGAATATATCCCAAGATGCAACATGAACAGCTCTACAATTTACACACGACTGCTTTTTTTAAAAGCTGCACTTCTTGCTTTCAAAATGATCAAAACTTTGAACGACCAAATTCCAACTGTGCGCAAACGATATATTTTTTTGGCACAGAATGATTTCGTTTCTTCTTATTTACCGCTTGATGTCTTATGAGCCATTAAACGTAACCCACGACCGATTCATGTACAAACTGCTCAATCGATGTCAGATTCATTTCAATTTGAGATGCGTGGTAGAGGCAACAGTTCTAGGAATAGTGACGCAAACCGTTTTTTGAAAAATATTTCTCCGTTCCTGACATCAAATTTTTCTAGAAAGCATTATCGTCAAAAAAGTACATTTTTCATCATTATTTTGGCCTCTTATATTTCAGCGAAGAGCTATCTGTTTAGCTTTGAACTTCTGCTGGAAATACACCCCAATTAGATGTATTCATCATAGGAAAACGCCTTCATAAAAATGAACCATTGATGGGTGTGGGGTGTGGGTGTGGGTGGGTGTGGGTGTCCGTCTTCTTTCCATCCACACGCATACCAACAGCCACACTCACACACGCACCCATACCCACACCCACACCCACCCTCCTCGTTAGTCATATAATAAGTAATCGAGAATCTCTTTCATTTCGCTATTTCATGTCGATTCAAAAATCGGACCATCTGGAAAAAAAGAAGTACAATAATCCAAACACAAGAAATGGGAGGCCTTCAAAAATTAAGAGGAGACAAAGAACAATTTAAAACACCTTTCAGACAAACGTACGGGCAAAATGAAGTAATTCTCGCTTTGAAGGTTCTCGACTCTTCAGCCTAGGAAATAAAACCAAGAGGAAAGGACTCTATCTAAGAAGATAGTTGATTTTGTAGTATCTTACAGACAGACATTTTCGGTTTTAATTTATCTCTGTAGATTTTAAGTTATTCTGTCTAGCGAAAAGAAAACTTAAAAAGATGGGGCAGCTGCGAAAATCCCTATATTCATTAATATATTAAAAAATTTGAAAATTCTTTTCTATCTTACGTAAAATATCGAAATATATTAGTGATGATGTCAAGAATACTTCATATAGAGAGAACAATCATTGTTTGCGTCGAAAAATCCTAATCTGACTTTTTTCCCTAGACTGAATCGTCTGTGATTTAGAAAGTTAAATTATAATAAAAGAGCTTGTTACCGCAGCCCCTTTAGGGCTGAAATGTGTAACTCACATATGCTCTCTAGCCTCATTAAACTAATACAAAAGACGTAAAATGCAAAATCTCTTGTAAACAATAATTGTTTTGCAGGATAATCTATCACTGAAGTGAAAAATTCTTCAATTTCTGCATTTCGAACAAAAAATTTTAACTTTTTTTCTACGGGCACCCTATTTTTTGTTAATTTATCGGTCTTATTATTATAATCATTGAATTGATTGACAAATAAGTGTTTTACGTATCTATCATATCTACAGCCAATCTTACACACCAGCATATATAATAATCAATTCACA